CGCGGCGTGATGACGTCGGCGGACCTGGCGCGGCGTGATGACGTCGGCGGACCTGGCGCGGCGTGCTCCGCCTGCGCCGCCGAGAGGTGGACGCTTGGGTTCCGGCTCGTTTCTGGCTGCTGCGCTGCGGAGGAGGCGGGCGCTTCGGCCAGGATGTTCCAGGCGGATGGCGCTGAGGCTCAGGCGGAGGCAGCGGAGCCCGCGGAGGAGGCCTGTCCGGAGTTGGTGCCCATTGAGACGAAGCGCGGAGCGGAGGAGGACGGGGAGGGAAGCTCTGGCCCCGGCGCCAAGATCCCCGTCACGATTATCACCGGGTACTTAGGTAACTCACAGCCGGTCAGACAGGGAGCCGGGATTGGGGGGTCTCTCCCTAGGCACTCATGGCTCCGGGGTGGGGGCCGCTGGCCTCGCTGGGTCGGTGGCACGCAGACCCCGCTGCTCCCGATCCACCAGGCTTGCGTTTTGCCACGTGCCCTGGTTTTGCTGTTGGAAGCCAGGCCCGTCGCCCCGGCTCTTGTTGACCCCCTTAGAGAGTCGCGGCCCTTCCCGGCGTCCGGGCTCTGGGACACTCCAGTCCTGAGCACCCTCGGAGAGGCCCCTCCTTCGCACGAGCCGCGCCCCCCGACTGCGGTTCCTCGGGCAGTTTGGGGAATGATCCCCGTGCAAAGCGTGGCAAAGCTGGGGATGGACCCCCGCCTTCCCCGACGGCCTCAAACGGAGGCAGCTGGCGACAGGGGCTCCCCTGGGCCAGAGGTGGTCAACGGGGCCCACCTCCCCCAAAGGCTGTTTGCAGGCGCCCCTAGATTCTAGGGTCCAGACGCGCTTCCCTGGAGAAGTCTGAGAAGCACCATTTGAAAATCTTAACAGTTAGTGGAGAGGTTAGCATCAGTACAGAACTGTATTAACAAGGTCAGACCAATTTTAATGGAAGACAGTGATCAGTTTGGGGCAATAGCTCCGATCCTAGATGGCTGCTGGAGACACGGTGAACCTGGTGTGTTCACACTTCTTGTAAGGATCCATCAACTCTTTAGGGGAGGAGAAAGCCTGGTCTTTCTACCCAAGAGTGGCTGGTGGTTTCAAACTGCAGACTTCTTGGTTAGCAGCCTGCCACGTAAGCATTATGCCTCCAGGGTAAATCGCTAGTGTAGTTGTGTGCGTAGTTTCCAAGCACCTTCTCATTTGGTGATTCCCACTGCTGTTCAGAGGCTACTGAGAAGTTGAGCAACTCCCTTGTCCAGGCCACTTCCTTCAGTCTCGTTTCTCTGCCGCCTCCATTCTGCTCACGGTTGTAGTTTGGTGGCAGTTGAGACTGATCGCAAACCCATGCAAGAGAACGGAGCACCGGTACGAGCAGTATTCTTGGCCAACACCCTCATTCTAATGCACCCATTTTTTCCTTCCTTTTACATCGCCCAGCTTGTTTGTGGGTTGAAGCTACTCAAGAGGCCTCTCGGGGGCAGGCCTGACAGTATTGAGAATCCCACAGGGCAGTTGGATGGTACACACAGAATCGTCCAGACCACAGTTGTTCTTGTGTTCGAGCCCCTCGTTGCAGCCACTGTGCCAGTCCATCTCGTTGAGGGCTTCCTCTGCTTCAGCTGCCCCTCCCCTTTACCGAGCACGATGTCCTCCACCAGGGACTGGTCTCTCCTGATAAGTGTCCAAAGCGTGTGAGTTGAGTCTCTCCATCCTGGCTTCTAAGGAGCGGCTGACTACTTCTTCCAGGGCAGATTAGCTTGCTCTTTTGGCAGTCCGCGGCGCTCTCAGTGTTCTCTGCCGCACCGGCACTGAAAGGCATCCGTTCTTCTGCCGCCCTCCCTCTTCAGCGTCTCAGCTTCCACAGGCATGAGACAGCCAGGATTCTCCAAAAGCCTCCTAGCTGGTCTTGAGTCGTTTGCATTTAAAGTCTTCACAGTTTAGGCCCTAATGGGCTTTATGGGAAGGCGCCTAGGGGAGTTGTGGTTATGGGTAAGGCTGTGCCAGGTCAGCCGTTCGCAGTCACCAGCTGCTTTTCGAGAGAAAGATGGGCTTTCTGCCCCTGTGTAGAGTCCCAGCCTCGGGGACCCACAGGGGCAGGTCACCCTGCCCTCCAGGGCTGCTAAGAGTCAGCACCAACTTGATGGCAGGGAGTTCGGATCGTTGAGTTTGGGCTTTCTAAGTGTCTGTCCGATTGGGTCATGCCCTCCAGTCACTTCCGTTTCAGTTAAAACTAAATTCCTTAGCAGGAGTTACAAGGTCCCGTAGGATCTGGAAGGAGCCCTGGTGCCACTGCGTGTTACCTATTGGGCTGCTCACCTCAAGGTTGTCAGTTCAATCCTACCAGCAACTCCTCCAGTAAAGATTCTGTCTCACCACCCTATGCAGGGTTGCTTCGAGCTGGCAGCAGAGACCCGGACCTTCCCCAGGGTTTCAAAGCTGCACAAGCAGCAAGTGGGGGCGACGGGAAGAATCTGCTTGGAGTAGACGTTGGTTCTGTCATTTTGAAGAGAGGGGACATTCCCATAACCTGGGTGGGAGAGAGCGGGCCTGTTGTCCTGAAGTCAGTCAGGTGTAGTTTGCCACCTAGTGGGTGAAGTTAGTGTAACCACCTGACTGCCTCACCCTGTCTCAGCTCCCCCCACTCCTGGCGCTGAAAAGTCCGTTTGATGGATGCTTAGGCACACTGAGTGTAGCCGGGCTGCAGCGTGTCTGCTTTGTGTAGGGACTGGAAATAAAAGGCAGCTCCTTCTTTGTAAATGTCATGGACTAGACCTTGCATTCCATTGTCCAGGAAGCAGTGTCCGTTTCCTGATTTGTAACACCCCCTTAATAAAAAAATAAACTCACTGCCATCGAGTTGATTCTGACTCGCAGCCACCCTCGAGGGCAGGGTATACATACCCCTGTGGGTCTCTGAGACTGTAAATCTTTACGGGAGTAGAAAGCCTCATCTTTCTCCCTTAGGCTACCTGGTAGTTTCAAACTGCTGACCTTGAAGTTAGCAGCTCAGCGTATGACCCATGTTATTGTGTGTGAAGTTAAAAAGGAGGCTTATTATCTTTACCACCTGAGGTTGCAAACAAAACAGAACTGTGCCATCGAGGTCCAACTGGGAGGAGTGTTTGTCAATCTGTGTAAGACGTTACATCTACAGGAGACACTAACACTTTTCCAAGACTGCTTGGCCATTTCCTGCTTTAAGGAATCTTCTAGGGGGTCTAAGGTTCCCTTAGAACCTTCTGAGTCCCAATTCATTACAACGTGAAAAACGGGGAACATGGGGTTGCCCATGCGCTCTCTGCGCCTTTAACATTGATCTTTGGTTTTGTTACTTGAAACCACGTTCCAGGTGCTGGGAAGACCACGCTACTCAACTACATCTTGACTGAGCAGCACAGTAAAAGGATCGCTGTCATTTTGAATGAGTTTGGGGAAGGTAAGTACAATTCAGTGAAGACTTCAGCAGCCTACCGGGCAATCGCTTCCATTGACTGAAAACTGAAAACGTGTGGCTTTCAGCTGTGGACACTGGGCGCAGAGAACTGGGGGAAAGCGGCCACTTTCTACAAAGCTTCATTGCACACACCTGTGGCGTCCTGGAGTCAGATAGTGGACTTTTGTATTTGGTGTCCGTTTGAATGTAGAACAGAGCGGAAGTATGTTTTTTATGTGAAAGAAATCGCGATGGAAGGAACGATCTAAACATCTGAGAGGAAAGGGGTTTATTTGTTTGTTTATACTGATCCAAAGCTATTGCGATCCAGTCTGTGCTGACTGACCGTGGCCGTGAGAAAGAGGGTGCCGCCCCTCGTGTTTCCCAGGCTGCATCTCTACAGAACCGACCGCCGCGTCTTTCTTTCCCCTGCGTCTGTCTGCCGGTTTAATGAGAGGAGCCTGGTGGCGTCATGGAGGATACGTGCTGGGGTGCTAACTAACGGCAAGCTCCCCGGGTCGAACGCACCAGCCCCTCCTCAGGAGAGACTGAGTCTCAGAAACCTCCGGGCATCTACCCTGTCCTGTGGGATGGCTGACAGTCGGCACCGACTAGATGCCGTGAGTTTGGCGTGCTTGAGTTTAATAAGATGTCACTGGTCTCTAATGCCCTCCATTTAGGGAAAAGCTCACAGCAACTTGATTTCAGGAAAATGGAATGACATTCCTGAAGCTTAAAGTTGTAAAATTTCCCCCCTGAGAACTAGGAAGGTGCTTTTGTACTGATGGCATTGTGTGTTGCAACCTACAGAGAATATTTCGGAATATTTGCATTAGTGAAAATGCACACGTAACCTGCTAAGCAATCAAAACGAGTTTTCACCAAGAGCTAACCCTAGTGCTCCCCTGCAGGTGACTTCTGTCTTTGCCGTTGGACTAGCAAACGTCCACGGCCCTCAAGGCCATGCTGATGCACAGTCACCCTGTCACAGGGCAGGGTGGAACCACTCCTGTGGGTTTCCGAGACGGAAACGATTTATGGGAGTAGAAAGCCTGTCTTTCTCCCAAGGAGAGACTGGTGGTTTGAACTGCTGACCCTGTGAATCGCCGCCTAACACAGAACCACTGTACTGCCAGAGCTCCTTTTGGAAGAAAGAAAAGCGGAGATGACCCGGCCCTGGGATGCCAATCCGGAGGACACGAGAATGGTGGGAAGATAGGACATGGCCTTCCTGCCGTGAGACCAGTGTAGCAGGGGTTGCCCAGTGAATGCCAACGGGCCCTAGTGGAACATGGGATTAAGCAGTGGGCTGCTGACCCAAAGGTCAGTGGTTCAACCCCCCCGTGGCTCCAGGGGAGAGAGATGTAGCCTGAGAAACACAATGGGGTAGTGGTACCTCACCCGAAAGGGTGGGTCCCTCTGTGCCAGGGTGGGCCCGCCGAGTGGGAGGCGACCGACCACAGTCTGACCCGCTGTTTGTGGCCTGTCCTAGGGAGCGCTGTGGAGAAGGCCTTGGCCGTCAGCCAGGACGGCGAGCTCTACGAGGAGTGGCTGGAGCTGCGTAACGGCTGCCTCTGCTGCTCCGTCAAGTGAGGACCAGCCGCCCCTGCGTGTCTGCTGTCACCCTGCGCCTGGTGCCCTTCCTGCCCATGGTCTCGTGTTGTCACCCTGGCTTTCCGTTTGCTGTTCCCATCCGCTCTCACCCTGCCGTCCCCTCTACCCTTTGCGTCTGTCGTCGCTGTCTGCTGTCCCCTTCTGTGCCCATGTGCTGTCACCTGCTGCTCTGCTGTCCCTGCTTGCTGCTGGCGACTGCCGTCCTCATTTGGTTGTTGCTTTGTCGTCACTGTCTCCTGTTGCCTGCTGCTCTGCTGTCCCTGTCTGCTGCTGGCGACTGCTGTCCTGTCCACCGTCGCTGCTTGTGGCTGACATTTCAGGCGTGGGGGATTCCGTCCACACGTTCCCTGAGTCACAAAGCCCGCATCGCCGTGGTTTCACACAGGAAGCAGACTTGCTGGAATGTGTTTCCTCGCAGTGTTTGCCGCTCTTCGCGTTACTGTTTCTACCTGCCCTGGCTTCGCAGGTGCCCTGAGCCAGTTCGTCTCTGATGGCAAGGCTGACACAATGTGCCCTCTGCCTCTGTGACCATGTCACGCAGCAAGGGGAGACGTGGGCCCTCGCCCTCTGTCTGTACGGACTGCCTCCCAGAGCCAATGAGCCCTTCCCAGGGGCAGTGTTTCCCTCAGAACCTCGACTCACGCCTGACACCTAGTGGTCACTCAGGTCCTTGCTGGGTGCATTTTGAGAAGCGTGCTGGTCACTCTACCCAGTCTGGCAGTGACTGACCGCCCCGGACTGCTGTCCGTGTTCCCGGAGGTTGAGTCACCCTCCGAGTGTCTGCACCCAACGTGCCCGAGGGGCTCGGATGGGAACCGCCTGGTTTTCACACCAAACGGCCACCCAGGCACTTTTATTGCCCTTAAAAATAAAAGTCCCACACCTTTTACGCTCGACTTTCCCCAAGCCCCTCCCCCCATCCTGGCAGCCCCCTCCCTGTGGCGGGGGCCAGTTCCTCTGGCCTCTTCATAGCCACGGGGATGCAGTGCGGCGTGTGGCTCTGCAGGTTCGTGCGCTTTCTCATGGCTGCTGGGCTCCGGCACGTGCTTGGCGGCTGCTCCACACAGCAGTGCTGACAACGCTGGCCTCGCGGCATCTGCTTCCCTCAGAGTGCAGTTAGCGGGTCAGCTGGGGATTCTGTGTGGGGACCCGCCCAACTGCCCCATGCCCTCTCTCTTCCCGTCCAGCAGTGGGTGGACATGCCCAACATCCTCTCAAGCTCTGGTTCTCGCCCTCGGTGGGGGTGAGGTCTCATGACTGCCTTCAGCCACTTGCATCTCTTTGAAGCTCTGTCTTTCCAAGCCCTTTGCCCATTTTCCGTGGGTGGTTTGGATCCTTGTTGCGAGTCCTACAAAAATCAAAATTCAATCTCACTGCCATCGAGTCGAATCCGACTCACAGCGACCCTATAGGGCAGGGTAGAACTGCCTCTGCAGTTCTGAGACTGTCACTCTTAGGGAGCAGAAAGCCTCATCTTTCTCCTGAAGAGTGGCTGGTGGTTTCGAACTGCTGACCTTGCAGTGAGCAGCCCAACACATAACCACTACGCCACCAAAACTCCTGTGAATTCTGAGTTCTTTTTATATTCTGCTCACTAGACCCACGGGGCAGCTCACCGAGCACCCCCAGTGGTTGGCACCCTCTGATGCACAGAGCCTGACATAGCGGTCAAGTCCAGCTTGGGCATGTCCCTCTTTGTCACAGCCCTTTTGCCAGTCACTCCACAGAGGGGTCACCGAGGTGCACCCACTTCCCCCTGAGCTTGTTTTTGTTGTGACCCCTTTCTGACTGACTGTGTGCACAGTGGGAGGATCCCTGGGTGTCCGCATGTCCATGTACCATGAGTGGAACAGACAGTGCCTGGTCCCGTGCAGGGGGCGTGGCAGCCTCGGACCGACCGTCCTTGACAACCCAGGCGCCACCCAGGAAGGATTTCTTCACTTTAGATGCTCCTGTAAGAGACCCGGGAAGTTAGCCCGGCATCCTCACTCAGACGGGCGGCTGAGTGGAAAGGTGTGGCCGCTGACACGGGCACAGGTTCACTGTGAACACAACACACTGGGACGGGTCCCTGAGATCAGCGGTGGCTGCAGACAAACTCTCTCAATAGAAGCATGTCTCAGTCTCCTGATGGTACCTTTTTAAACAGAAGGTTCAATGGAGCCTGTGGCTGCCGAGAGGAGCTCCTGGGCCCATTCAGTCCCAGGCAGCACGGGCAGCCTGCTCAGGTGCTGGCGACCGTGTGTGTGGTCTCCAGAGGGGCCGTGACTAGGCTGATTAGGAAGACGCTGTAAGGACAGTGCAGCCTCCGTTGATGGAAAGAAGCCCAGGAAAGTTGCACCAGGGGGCTTGCATCCCTCACGACGGCACACCTCCTTTTCCAGGGACGGCAGGAGCCCCCGGCCTTGCTCTCACCTCCCCCTAACCCACCCCGCCGCCACGCCCAAGACTTCTTTTCCTCCCAGACTCAAGAGCCTTTCAGAGGACCTGAGTCTGGTTCCTCAGTGATGCCAAGGCTGCTCTCCGGCTGTGGTGGAAATGGACTTGGGCAGAATTCTCGGGGCAGGTCTAAGAGAGACCGCTGTCAGAGGACACATAGATGGTGGGCTGGGTGTGCGGGAAGCCGAGGTGCTTCCTGTGTAGAGCTTTTTGTCTAGACAGGGTTTCCGTGATTTGGCTGCCATACCTCTGGACTCACCCTTGTAGACCGGGGGTGGGGGGTGGGGGCTTGGTGAGGGTGTCCTGACCATGGCCTTGAACTACGAGGATGCATCAGGGTTGTCATCATTGGAGCCCGATTCTTCTCCTTTCCTAAAGCTAAAGCTATTCAAATAGCAGATAATCGCTTTGGCAAGTAAATTTAAATCCTCCTGCTCTTAGTTTTAACAGCAGTTTAGCCATGAGCTCATCGCAGACGTGACGCTTGCTAAGCCGCAGCCTGTCTGCATTGGGTGGCCGACGGGGAGCGGCAGTCCGCTGGAGGCGCAGTGCCTTCTCATGACTGCAGATGATGTTGTCTAGAGTGACTGCATGTATCAAAGTAATGTTTGTGACAATCACTTTAAGATGCTCATTGTGTTTGGGTGTTTTCTAGGGACAATGGCCTTCGAGCTATAGAGAATCTCATGCAGAAGAAGGGGAAGTTTGATTACATCTTGCTAGAAACCACTGGACTAGCAGATCCCGGTAAGAGACTAAGTTATGAACAGTGAGGATTTATTCTTGGACATTCAGAAATAGAGATACTAGAGAAGTATGTACATTACCAGAGCTCTACTTTAGATTTTTAACAAGCGGGAAAAGACTTAAGTTGTCACGTTTTCTTTATGGTCAACACGCTGTGGACGGCCAGAAGAAAATGAAGACTGACTCTGTCTTGGGAGAAGCACAGCCAGAAGGCTCCTGAGAGGCAAGGTTGACAAGACGTGGTCTCACCGACGTGGGGCTTGTCCTCAGGAGAGACCCGTCCCTGGGAAGGACATCGGGCGTGGTGAAGTTGAAAGGTGGTGAGAATGAGGAAGACCTGCGACGAGATGGGCTCACACCTAAGAACAGTTGGGAGGACGGTGGGAAGAGGACCTGCTTGATGCGGGTGGAGGATGGCAGACCTCAGTTACATACTGTCCCATCGCGGGAGCAGAAAGGGACCCGCAACAGCAGGAACCTGGAGGGTTACCACAGCCGGGCAGTCGCTGTTGACTCCCTGGCTCCAGAGATGAGGGAGTTGAGACTCCTGCAGTTTGTGCGGCCTGCGCTCTTCGACATCACCGGCTTTCCAGCATGGACTTCTGCCGGCATCCCTGACTGCCCTGCCCACTGGCTCTCGTGCCCACACCACTCACAAAACCCAAGACGTTCGAGCCCAGGCCTGCAGCACTGCGCCCTTCCTCTCTCTCGCTGCCCTCCGCTTACCAAGCAGGCTGCCCTTCTCCTGACCACGGGTCCAGCGTACATGAAAAGTCCTCCACCCTTCCTCTGAGGGGCGTTCTGGCCGCACTTCTTCCAGGACAGATGTGCTTGTCCTTCTGGCCGTCCGTGGCCCTGTCCACGTTCTTCACCGGCACCGTCCTTCCGATGGAGGTGGACGTGAGCGAGACGGGCTTTCTGCTCCTCACCGAGGCCCCCATTCTTCTTCGGTCTTCTTATCCAGTGTCCGACGTTCACATGCTTGTGAGGTGACTGACCACCCGGGGGATGTTGGGGGCGAAAACCCAGCCCCTCCCTGTCTCACTGCGAACTCGGCAGGCTGTTCTGGGGTCTCTCTCAGGCTCTAATCACCCGGGGCTCCTCCTCCTTGTTTCCAGTCTTTGCTCCCTCGGGAAGGATTCGGAAGGGCTGTGCCCTCTGGGGAGGGAGTGCCTGGATCTGCCTTTCCTTCTGTCTGCTCGGTTTGTCCTGTTGGGCTCTGCAGAAGGCAGGCTGTGTGAGCTCCTCAGGCCTTAGCAGCCCGGGTGTCACAGCGACATTAGGGCTTGGGCATTCCTGCGTGGCCAGGGGCCTGCCAGGACATGGTGCGTGTGCCAGCAGCATCTCCGGGCTCACCTACAGCATGCCTTCAGCAAGCCAGCCCACACCTACTGCTGCCTGCTCCTACCAATGCTAGTCAGACCTGCCCCAGGTCCCTGGGTCCATCTCTCTCCCGTGGAACAGTTGGTGGGTTCACCTGCCCACCTTTCCAGTGAGCAAGTGGGGGCTTTAACCTCTGGACCACCGGGGCTCATTTCCCCCCACTGGGACAGCCCCCGCTCAGAAAGACTCCGTGCACTCGAACCCATTCCGACACTTAGTCACCCTTCAGCACAGGATAGAACTGCCCCTGTAGGTTTCTCAGACTAACTCTTTACAGGAGTAGAAAGCCTCATCTTTCTCCTGTGGAGCTGGCTGGTGGATTTGAACCGTTGACCTTGCAGTTAGCAGCCCCGTGCTTTACGACTGCACCACTAGGGCTCCTTAGGTTGAGGGTGGGGGCGCAGAACAGCCCAGACTCAGCCGCTGACCAGCTTCCTGCTCCTGTGTTGTTTCCTCCTGGCCAAGCCCTGCCCTTCCCTGTGCAGCCTGGACGGTCTCCGACCAGAGAGGTACCGCCCTGGGTACAGCGGCGCCAGCCACCCTTGACTGGAGTTCAGGACGGACACGTGCTGCTCCCTGCAGGCCTCGCCATCCCTGGTCTGACGGACTCGGGGGACGGGGCAGTCAGGTTGTAACAGTGGTCAGGGACTCACACCGGGAAGACGCTGAGGGCTGTACTTTCAAAGATCACAGGAGCTGGACA